CTGATCGTCCGTGCCCAGTTGTCAATCAAATCCAGTCACCTGGATGTATAATTTGGACCGTAGCATACTTTTTTGGTGCTTGCTTTCTCGAACTAGTCTCCGGCGCTCCAGGGGCGGAAGTGACACTCTCACCCCCAGACCTCCTCAATCCTTTTACCGTCCAATCCTTATGCCTAAATTTTTTCTCAGTACCGCTCAACCCAGTCATTCCTCTCAAGGCAGCCTCAGACTAGTCCCGTGCAGCTGTGAACGCTCGCCTGTCTCCACCACAAAGTGGAGACCGAATGGCCCATTTGAGCCATTGGGGTGCACGGGCCGTGTCGGTAAATGGCGCCGAGTACCGCGGAGAGGAGGCACGCGCCCCTTGAGCGCGCCTCATGTCGTCTGTTATGGAGCCACAGTTCAGCCGCGTCTCCTATCAGATACAGAGCCACAGTTCGACAGCACTGGGTGGATACACAGACTCAATGGGCTGGTTTTCAACCGCATTCGAATGTTTACCGTGGCCTACCTGGAGCTGGTTTACCAGAATCACTTTGTTGTTGATTACAAACATAGCAACAGCTGTGTATCGGAAGCGGCAGTAGTTACGGGTTCTGGTAAACACTCACGCGTAGTTCACATTTGTTTCCGACAGTTCATCAAGGGAAATCTAGTAAACACACGTCAATTCCCGAACGACTGGTGGTAAGGACCGGGAGAAAGCGACGGACGGCGGCGGCGTGGTGGAGGACCATCACGGTCCACTGGGCACGGAGAGCTCTAATGATCGCTGCTCTGACCGCACACTCCGGCCTGTTTAGTGTCTGTCTGTCTGATGGTGGCGGCTGTGTATAAGCTCGGTGTCCACTGGGCCTTCCCCTCTGTTAGGTGTGAGCGGGAAACTTATTGTAAAGTAATAGCTAGGTCAGTCACGGCGCTCGGGTGACCCTGATGGCCGCACGAGCGCACAAACTCGTGCAGAGTTCCCGCTTCATCGGCCCAGCCGACCTCGGGTCGCCGCCAGCTCCATATGTGAAAATTACCAGCGCGAGATTATAAGCACAGTTTTTATCTTGAGGACTCAGAGACAAACTCAGCGTTTGCTAGCTGAACCTGGAATGAAGCGGGACCTGCACTCCGGTCGGACATCCGTGTTCTCCGTTGCTGCTGACGGGTCCCGGCGCGGGTCGTTTGCCCAGCACACCGCGCCGTGGTCCCAGTCGGCTGAGCGCAACCATACATCATCACTGCACGCCCTGCGAGCGCCAGTGACTGAGCACGCGTGCCCAGGGCGTGACCTTCCGACCGAGGAGTGGAGCTGTGGGCTGTCCCACGGGGCAGGGAGCACGTGTCTCAGGGCGTGACCTGGCGAGTGATTTCTGGCCGGAGGAGTTGGAACTTCCTCACGGGATGGTCACTTCAGGCCCATGGACGGGAAACTGGGCCGGCGGCGGGACAACCGCTCGGCGCCTGGAGCAACGCTGTCCCACGGATCTTGCGACTCTCTCTCTCTCTCTCTCTCTCTCTCTCTCTCTCTCTCTCTCTCTCTCTCTCTCTCTCTCTCTCTCTCTCTCTCTCTCTCTCTCTCCCTCCCTCTCTCTCTTCCCCTCTCTCTCTCCCTCCCTCTCTCTCTCTTCCCCTCTCTCTCTCCCTCTCCCTTTCACACACTCACTGTTTTGATTGGAGGTTTGCCTCCTACAAACGACATCACCATCCAAATAATGCCTGATTTTCTCATTTGTCATAAGAGACATATGATTTATCTCACGATCACTTGTTTCACATCTCCATATCCTTGTTACCCTGGCTGGGGTTTTCCCGAACGGATAAGGTCTTTGTATGAAGGTATATGCTGAAACTTCGAGTTGAAGCTTCTTCGTTCTGAGTGCTGATATATGATTGGGCTTGAGTGCCGCACTCTGAGCTCGATAGGGCGCCGATAGCCGTCCTCCGCAGCTCGGGCGGACCTTGAATGTCATTCACCGCTCCACACCCAGCTCTCGAGGAGATCGCCACCCGTCCCTTACAGCGCGCTGCTCGCGAGTGTTGACCCGGCGCCGCACCCGTTATTAAATCGCAGCCGCGCCCGGCCGGCTGCGCGGCCGCCGGCGGTCTCCCTAATGACCCCGCTCGCGTCTCCTGTACAGGGTGTCTCAAAAGTTCGCTTACACATTTCCCATGTCAATAAAGCATATAAGAATCGGCCAAAAATCTAAGGTTTTGGTGTCCGTGTGTACACTAGACAAATATGCATGCTTTGACAACTGATTCGGAAGGTTGGAAACCAAACCCTTTGCTGTATCTCCAAAAATATTTGCCCATACCGATTTTCGTCACTCCGTCAGCTGCCGGAGGCTGATAAAAGGTTACCAGCTTTCAAGCTCTTGTAGGGGAATCCCCCGCAGTTTCTGCGTCGGATTTAGGTTTGACGAGCTCCCCGGCAACATCCGCTTCTCCCTGAAAGCCGATAGCTTGCATCGACACCATCCGTGAGTATTTTGTAGGTGTTCTCTGGCGCTAACTCCTTCATGAATGACTGGCGCCGACCTCCCAAGCACCATTTTCCTTTTCAAAACAACCCCTTTCCTGAACAAATGGGAAGTGCCAGGGGCAAATTTTTCGCAGCATATCGTAGCAGAATGTGTCGGCCATCTGTTTCTTAGACACATTTTGCAAAATTTGCAAATCCCGAACGCTCGTCATTCCCAATGCCAAGACCTTCGCTGGGTTCCGGAGTGTTTTCCTCAGGAGAGGTTCTTCTTCGTAAACGGCCAAAACCTGTCCATCGTGCGGTTTTGTCCGGATTTTGTGTGTAAAAGAAAGCTATTTGCTCCAGATCTGCCTCTTGAAACTTCGTTAGATAAAACTTTTACATTAATTGACACTTTTGGAGGGTCACTTGTCCTCGGCATTGACGATTTTCGCATTATTTTCCCTCAAAATTTAGCGTTATAGATATTATAAACAATTTTAAATGATATTTTGTCTTTACTTTATGATGACCTGCAATTTTTGAAACTGGGTAACCTCTGTCTGTGAGCTTCTAGTCAGTTTTCAATAGTTAGGACTGCATTTTCAGCTGCTTTCCGGAGCACGAGTCTGCTGCGGTACAAGGGTCGTTCAAAGCGCTGTTAGTCTCGCATGGTTTTGTCCTTCAAAAATTTTAGCCACCGTTTTTATTAGATGACCATCATGTTGTACTCATCCTCGCCGACACTTTGCCATGTGTCATTTCCGACCTAACCATTCCCATTACTCGTGAAGCAGAGAGTTTCTCAGCCGACCCGAGTATGCGACCTCCATTTTCATGCCTGATCCATGGTCAGAGGTGAACCCTTTTTGTGTGCTCATGAAGGGTCGAATGCGCTTGAAAACAATGAAGCTGCTTGAGGAAGGTTGTTACCAATGCCCATGCAAAATTTCTACTGTTAATTTCATGTTGATTCAGAATTATTGACAAAAAAGCATGGCTGGTACCTGTAAGCGAACTTTTGAGACACCCTGTAGTCGGCAGGCGGCGCTCTCAGCTGCACAGCAGACAGACGGACGGACGGACGGACGGACGGACGGACGGACGGACGGACGGACGGACGGACGGACGGACGGACGGACGGACGGCGCGGCGGTCTGCCGGGAACCGGAGCAGAGTTATGTGTCCGGCCCGGCCGGATGTGGCCGAGTTATGGTGTGCTGGGCTGACCTTCACGTCACAGACGTCTCACGCGTCTCAGTGCCTTGGAGAGGCTCGTTCAGTGGGCGGTAGCGGTGTGTTGGGAAGGCAGGCGTCTGTGCACCGTGTATTAGCAACTTCAATGTAACCGTATACACCTACCTTGCTAGGTCTGGCAGCCTGTTCAACGTCCGTTACGCCTGGTGATTGCAATTAAGCCAATCATGTCTCGCTACCGTGTGGCGTGTAGAGAGTGAAACGCCTCGCTATACGCCCATATGCACTTAATGCGCACATCAAACAGAAGACATGGTTTCCTCAAACACGGTTCCCTGTCATTTCAAAGAACTGCAGCGTTTCCTTTGTCATGAAGCCGGTGACTGAGGTTCACCGATTGTTACCAGATGTTCTGCATGCAAAAAGTCATGTGATCATGCATCTGCTGCTGGTTTAACCAGCTGCTGGGACTGCGGTAAAACGGTACAGTACTGTTTAGTAAGCACCGTCGGCATTGTTTGCTGGCAGTGTATTCATGCAGCATGCAGCTCGGGATGGCATATGCTCTGTCCGGTGTTATATATATATATATATATATATATATATATATATATATATATATATATATATATATATATATATATATATATATATATATATATATATATATGTATATATATATATATATATATATATATATTATATATTCCACGGTTCTCCCGCCGTGTTCCCGTTTTACGATCCAACTCTGTTTTATGGGACAGTGCGAGCTGTGGTCCGCACCGAGCATTCCCTCGGTAGGCTGTGATGTAACCGAGCACTTTCGACGGGGAGGCGGCGACAGACAGTCTCTCCACTCAGGCATTCTCTCCACTCTTCACTGAGCATTGCTACGGTCTGAGAACAGCCATCAGCACCGTGTGACCGGTCGGTGCGCGATGACCAAACACACGGACCTCACAGTCGGAGACGTGATCCTTTCATTTCTACCGGCTCAGTGACGAAAACCCAGCGTCCCGTGGGAAGCTGATAGAACTCTCTCTTGGTGTACATAATTTGTGCCATGTGTTTTAAATCAGCTTAATACCTGCATATAGGTATTCATTGCTGTTTATAAAAATGTCGAGTATTTTCAATTTAAATGTCAAGCAGCGTGCATGCCTCGATGCCAGCTCACATTTTAGATTTTATACTTACAAGGATTTAATTTACCGATGCGCACCAAGTTCACGAGCCCTATTATTTACTTTTCACCCAGTCTTTCCCGATAAAGCCACACAAATGAGCCTATATTATCCACGAATCTGCAGTACGCGACCACTTACCTGTTCTCTCCGTGATTTGCCGCCAGATTTCGAGAGTTCGCGCCACAGCTCGCGCGAGCGGGACCGCGCCGGGAGCGAGGCGGCCACCGACGATGTGTCGTCCACCTCGTCGGAGAAGTACGAGCGCGACGTGTCCGTGCTGAACCACTGCTTTGACGACATTGAGAAGTTCATCGCGCGGCTGCAGCACGCCGCTCAGGCCGCCAGGGAGCTGGAGAAGAGGCGCAAGTGAGTGTCCGCGGGCCAGGTAGCTGTGACATGTGTCTTATTCCCACCCAGCTTAGGCGAATATCATGGTGCAGTGTGCACGCAACGTTAAGTTGTTAAAGTGGTACAAGTTTTCTTAAGATCTCGCAAGAAGACTTGTAACAAGGTTTCTTATGCTCAAACTCACAGTTTACTAAAACTACGTCAAACCGTCTATTTATATCACTCGAAAAACAGAGCCTCCAGTGATTATGACTGCCGTTCGCTGATATACCATGGGAATCTACTGTGACGCGTAGCTCGGTTCGATCAGTCACGACACATCGGGGCCTATTTACGGGCTAATTTGCCTGCTCTCTGGGAGCGGAGACGGTGCGGCGCTCCGTGACGCCTTTGGCGGACGGTGGAGCGAGTCAGGACCGTTCCCCGAGCGCCGCCGCCGGGTGAGCTGGGCCGTGTCGCACCAGCCGCGCGTGTACCGCCGCCCCGGCCCGTCTCCGGGGGCTCATCTCCTCCCGTCACTGAGTGGGTCATAAGTGGGACTCTGAGCGCCGCCGCCGAGACGGCGCAGCACTGAGCTGCTGTACGTCGGTGCTCGGTCAGCGGAGTAGGCGCGCCCCCGGCGCGGCGGCACCGCGCCGCTCGCGTGCACCGTGACCCGCGCGGGCAAACACGGCGCGCGCGCGCGGAGGGCGCTGATTGGCTGCGCTCTCTGGAGCGTGTCGCGCCCGGCGATTGTTACGGTGCACTGAGCAGAGGAGCCGCTGCACGAAAGGACAGGGCGGCAGCCACGACCATGCTGAGGCTCCTCAGAGAACACTGACGATTGTCTGGTGAACGAGCGATGTAGTGAAGTCGTGTGCAACATAGGCAACAGGGATCTTTTACGCCCGAACACGGAACAATGCACACGTCTTGAGGAAAACACAGGATGTTCAGAGCATGTGCATTGTGCACTGTGCCGTCGTATGAGCCTCCGCAATACAATGCACATTACATGCATGAAAGCAAGACCGGAATAGTGTGCCCGCGGCGACAGGAAATCTGCACGGACCCGCATTAGCCGCGACCGGCGTCGGCCACCGGCCCTGTTGTGTAACGCATCACCCGATCGCTCGTTCCGGCATGCACGTGCAATCGTTACCGGCCGGTGGCGACCGTCGGCTGCTCCGTTCTCTCCCGTTTGGGAGTGCGAGACATTTCAGAGCCCCTGTCAGCTCCGCGCAGTGAAAGCGGAACCCCTGATGTCATTCGAGTTCGTATGTCCAATGCAAAGCAGCGGCACAGTGTCACCACCGGTTACCATTCAGCTTTATGTAAATGCGGAAGAATTTGCAGAGCTGAGTTCCTACTTGGCATTTATGTGATCTGCTTGACGTTTCCACGCTGATACCTTGGGGACCGAGCAGCGACACCATTTTATTACACATATACCTACCTACCTATGTGAATGAGACTCCCTAAAAGTTTCGTTGGTACCTATGTACCCTGCTTCGACTGAAGCCGCTGATGCGAGACAGTAGTCAATAACCTAATATTTTTATAAATTAATTTGAAAGCGTATTTCGGATTTAGTGCGCCAAAGGAAGACTTAGCCTTAAAAGCTGTGCGCTTATTCCTTCGAAATACCTACTTAGCACGGCGAGCAGCATGATCACTCTTCTGACTCACCTTTTCAGATCCCACAAGACGAAGAAGAAGGATCTCGGAGAGGGCATGCTGTCAATGCGGGCCAGGCCTCCTCCGCGCAGAGATTTCGTGGAAATCCTGCAGAAGTTTAAGCTTTCCTTCAACCTGCTGGTAGGTGATGGCTCAATCAAACTGTGATTCACGGTTTGGTGAAAACAAACACTAGGTCAACACCCTCTCTGTAATTGGTCTTGGTTTTCCAGATGAATATCCTTAAACTCAGCTTTTGTAAGTCGCGGCCGAGGTCTTTTCGTAATAGGAAAACTTTACGTATAAATAAACTAGACTGTATATCGAATTTGTATGTGTGCAATGAACAGTTCATGCTTCAAAGCGCTGCAAGTATTACCTACTATCTCCGATTTCTTTGTACTTTCCACTTACCCTCGGTCATTCGTCGGCATTGCCAAGCTACGCTACGGTAGGAAAACATAGCTTCCAGCAGTCTAACTAGGGAAAGCCGGCACAGAGTCATGGGATGGATGATACCGATCAGGGATCTGGTAATTGTATACGCGCCACTGCACCGCCCTCTCACCGTAACCGATCCCGATACAGACGCTCTCTCGACTCTCTTCCACCGATCCGATCACCTTTCCCCTGGAGTGACCCTGCTTAGTTCTTACTCTCTTCCTCGGAGAAAAGTTCCACTATCCGCACACCGTGGCGGCATGGGGGCTCGTGGCACAGTCCTCTGCCGCAGCCCTGTGTCTACTCGGGCCCGCTGGACGGTCACTTTCCCCGCCTGTATACGCTGAGTGGAACTGCAGAGACAGTTCCGATCCTGACAGAGTGTGAGAACGCCGGAACATGAGACAGCCGTGAGTCGGTGTGAGGCAACAGCGTGCGAGACTGACAGCGGACGGTGACAGCGCGCTCCAGGCCTGAGGCCTTCGTATGCCAGCGCATTATAGACGGCTTGGGGATTGATGGGCTGAGGAAGACGAGATATGATTGGGGCCTTCATAGCAATCAATCACAAACAAGACTGAATCGTTCGGATAGAGCGAGACAGACTCAAGGCCAGCGAATCCTCGCTGCTCTCGCCGTTAAGTTCTCTGGACATTTTTCTTCGGCATCTACTCTCAGACGCAACCAAATAGGAAAACCGAATGCTAAATTGTGTTGTTGACCCCAGGGACACTGTTATGCTGGTGTCACACGAGGCTCTAGACACGACACCGAAATGTGACCTCCACCCTCAGGCGAAGCTGAAGGCGCACATCCACGACCCGAACGCTCCGGAACTGGTGCACTTCCTGTTCACGCCACTGGCGCTGATTGTGGACGCGTCTCGCGACTCGAACCACGGCGCCAACCTGCCGGCCGAGGTGGTGGCGCCGCTGCTGACGCGCGACGCCATCGACCTGCTGGTCAACTGCCTGACCAGCAAGGAGTCCGAGCTGTGGCACTCGCTCGGCGAGGCCTGGTGCCGGCCCAGGTCAGTGGTTGGGCGAGCGGGTCGGTGAGATCACACTGGTGGTAGCGTTAGCTGTCACGAGCTGGGTGGTGGAATCTAAAAGCCAGTGTCCGTCAATGTGACAGGTTGTGTCGATATCAGTGCGCATGGCTCTTTGGGGTCAATCAGCCGATCTCGTCAAAGGTGTCTGTCTGTCAAAGAGGTTTGTAACTTGGCATATTTCAAGCCAAATTTTATTTACTTGTTCATGGTATCATCAATTTTATTTATCACTCAGCTTGAGTTAGTCTCACCGATTGTCCATGCGTCCCTGGAATAGACATTGACAGCTTGGTGCTAAGCTGGCATGCTAAAAATATTCAGTGCAAAAAAGATAATAATCCCACCGTACCGACTTAATGTCTAGGTCAGCACTGTCGCAGTCTGTCCCAGTCCGACCGACCCTTCCCCGTCCGTCTGACCGGCGCCTCTCTGCTAATCCAACAGAGACCAGTGGGAGGGCCACCTGCCCGTCTACAACCCCGTGTTCCTGGACGGCTGGGCGCCCGACCTGCGGGACGACGAGCGCGAGCGCAGCCGGCGCGCCTCCTCGGCGGCCGCCAGCGAGGCCCAGCGGCTCCGCGCCGACAAAATACGCCGAGCAGAGCACGAGGTAACCAACGAAAATGGACAGAACGACATTTCCTCTACGACCGGCCAATTCTCGTAAAGCTCCGAAACTTTTAATATCGCGTATTCATTTTGATACGACGGCAACAGTCTCGGCTCATGCTGATATTTCCTCCGCTAGATGACACTAGTAGTGAGCGCCTGAAGGTAGACTGTACCGCAGCGCTTCAAACACAATACAGGGACTTTAGAGTCTTATAAAAACTCATTTCTGTCCTTCTGCCGTGAATTATGTGTAAATCCAGTGACATTCTCACTCGCAATGTAACTCTGCTCAGGCGGAGAGGCGCGAACTGGCGGCCAGAGATGACCGGTACCCGGACGACCGCTACTACGACTCCGACCAGCCCAGCCTGCCGTCCCCGTCCAGCCACGGCGGCTACCGGCGGCCGCAGCGCAGCAGCCGCGAGGAGAGGTCAGACACAGGGAGACGGTCGGGAGACACAGGGAGACGGTCGTGAGAGGGAGAGAGACGGTAGAGGGACAGAGGGAGACGGTGCTGAAAGACATGGAGGCGGTAGGAGACAGAGGGATACGATGGGGAGGGACAGATGGAACAACGGGACACGGTAAGAGGACAAGGGGAGACAAAGAGACAGAGGAAGATGGTTGGGAGACAAAGGGAGATGTTCGTGAAATAAAGGGAGACGGTGAGTAGATAGAGGGAGAAGGCCAGAGACAAAGGGAGACGATGGTGGGACGAGATACAGAGACGGGAGAGACACTGGAGAAGGTTGGGGACACGGGAGGATGATGTACGGTAGAATTGACGCAGTGGCTATTAAATCATAAATGTACTTCCAGCATACATCCATATGAGTATCGAATACCGGGATGTTTATCATGTATAGACATCAATATAGACAGGTGCAGATAGTCACACCATCCGTGGCTCGTTTGCCATGCGTTCCTTTGTCGTGGAGGTAGGTCACACTTGCTGCCGCAAGTGGTGCGCTGTCTGTGAGGCCATGACAGCGCGGCACGGGGACCATGCTTTGTGGCTGGTCCGCCCGCCCTCCTGTCTGCCGGTCTGTCTGGGGACCTTCAAACTCAGCTGCGCCCGTCTGTCGTATCTGGGACAATGACCGTGCTGTATCACTTTGCGAGGCAGTGTCGCTAGGTAGAGCTCCCGCCAAATTTTTTACACGACACGACAATGTGAATGTGATCGCCTTTTTCTTGGACACCTGTCATCTCTTTTTTCTAAAACATCACAAAACAAAACGCTTACCCGAACAGATCGCTTTGGTGCTTCCAGTTATGTTACCCATGGAGAGAACTCGTCCTCAGCGCTCCCTCTGCGCGGCGCTGAACTGCGGCGCTCCCTCTGTGCCTTTAGTGACGTCATCTGTGTCCCCAGGGAGAGAGCCCGTCCTCAGAGTGTGTCACTCCCTCTGTGCCTATAGTGACGTCATCTGTGTCCCCAGGGAGCGCACCCGCACCCCGTCCTCAGAGCGCGGCGCTCTTGGTGCCCGCAGTGACGCCAGCGTGGACTCGGCGGGCGCTGGCGGCTTCGAGCGCCAGCAGAGGCTCTGGTACGACGACCTGAAGATGCGCGGCGTGCGCATCGTGCAGGTCACCTACCCGCGCACCGCCAACAATGACAAGGAGCTAACGCTCACCCGCGGGGAGTACCTCGAGGTGAGGGCTGCGCGGTGGCGGGGGGGGGGGGGATAGGAACTGGGCAGGACGTGGGGACACGGGGTATGCATACATACATTAGTCGTTTGTTCATTAGTCGTTTGTGTTCAGTATTGTTTGTTTTGTGTGGAAACAGTGCAATTAAAGTCGAAGACAAAGCTCGAAGCTCAAGCTCAATCAGTGCGTAATTGTGCGAAATGAGTTTTGAGGCTCACTTGAATGACGACATCGTAGCACTTTCAAACTAATGTGGTGTAATCTTGCCACAACAATCGCCTTATTCGCCGTCGTCTTTTTATCTCGATGGGAAATACGTCTGAACCTAACACAACCTCAATTGTTCTGCGACATTCCGTCATTATCGACTTCACCTCGAGTCTCGCGTCTGAAGCCGGCGGTTTATCCCAGCCGACCTCTGGCGACCCCGTGTGACCCCCGGCTGACCTGTGACCTGTGACCGCTGCGGCAGGTGATTGACGACAGCAGGAAGTGGTGGCGGGCCAGGAATAGCCGCGGACAGACGGGCCACGTGCCGCACACCATCATCACCCCGGTCGGCGCCGACGACTCGGTCAGTGCAGACGCAGCGGAACCCGCCAAATGCTGAGATACAGCCGACTAGCGCCAGTTGGCAGCGTGCTGACATAGTCATTGATCGATTGGTTATCTGTCCGTAAACTTGTGAGCTTACCTATATATTTTTAGCTTTCCAAGCTCGTTATTATACTTTTCGCTGTAAAACACGCCTTAAAGACTTCCATCCTTCCCTCCCTTTTATAGTTCCCACATATTTACTGATAAGAATGAAAGATTGAAAGAAAACTAATAGGTATAAATAAGCACTTTATATGGCAGCTTTATAGCTCGTTTTAAATAAAATAGCATTCTTCTTTTTTTCGGCAGGACCCGGCGGCCTCCGCTGACTGGGCAAAGAAGGAGAAATCAGGCAAGAAAGGTGATTTGCGGTACATGTAGAGGTGGTTGTCTGCGGCTTGTCGGTCCTGTGACGTCACGCACAGCTCACAGAATGTCCGGCGCACCGTGCTTTTGACGTCATTGGTGACGTCATCACTGCGTCACAGCGGAGCCGGGTGTGTCATGTGCTACGGTCAGTTTTGTGAAGCAAAACGGACAGAACTGCGAGCATGCCTGGTCGTGTAAAGTTGTGTCAGCATTCATGTTTTGCTGGTTGCTCATATAATGACGGTATGACTGCAATGGTGGTATAGAATGATTTAACAGCTGATGTGTGTGCAGGTGCTCGCAGTTTTGTCGTTCCGTCCGCTTTGCGAGCCCCGTCAGCCGTCCGTTCGTTGACAATGGGTGCTTCATTGTCGCGTTTGTCCGTCCGTTCAATCGTCCGTCCAGAACTGAGGATACCGTCCACTATTCTACCGGTTCCCCAGTCCGCTCCATGGCCTTTGGGTTATGCCGCTCCCCAGCCGGCTGAGCCGCCGGGTACCGTTCAGCGTCCGCCGACAGGACCTGCGGATCCAAACAGGCGCAGCAAGCCGACCATGCCAGTCTGAAGTCAAAACAAAGATAAAACCCGTTTTATTTTTTAGTGTTTGCTAGCTGGCTAGACAGTCTGAGGGAAATAACTGGACACAACGATGTGAATGACAGTGTGAATGTGAATGCAGGAGTGTGGCCAACAGACGGTTGAGCATGTAAATATGTTAATTGAAGGCTAATATTTAATGATTATTTCTCTCTATCCGACGGCCTTTAGTCAGCTGACAAATCTGGTCAGTATGTGAGAGCTGCGCTAGTTTGTGAATCTGTGAGTGGCCAGACAGGACGACGCGACGCATGCGACATCGCAGAAATATTGCAGTGCCGGCTGCCACGCCGCCGGCAAGTTCGAATGATTCGGCAACCAGTCGTGTTGGTCCGCTGTACAGAACCGATGCAGTGCTGGTCCATTGTTATTGATGCCCTCCGTCTCTGCTTATGCAGTGCTGATGACTGGATCATACAACAGATTCCTTGTCCTTTTCTTGGCCCATCTGTGAACGCTAAGCAGCAATGCTCGCTGGTGCCGTGCGATGTCCCTTTCTGTCTGGCTATACATCCGGGTGAACATCCCCTTGACCAGATGACCAAACCACAATGGCGGGGTGTGCCAGACAGAACACTTGAGCCCGTGACGCCGAAGTTTGGCCCTGTTGTCGATAACCGTATCTCCCCGAGTTGCTCCGCGCCAACCTTCTCCTCTGGTCTGTTTGTGTTGTTTGTATAAGAGTGCCCGCGCGGGACAGAGCAGTTTTTGGATGTTGTGTGTTTCGGAGTCGACGGAGTGTCGCAAAATGCTGGGCCGTCCGACGCTCGTCTGTCATGCCTTTTGTTAATATCGACTATTTTCGTGAGAGCGTATGGTCAGGTCCTCATTGGCTGAATGCTGCCTACTTTTATAGCATGGCTTTCAGGACCAATAAATACAAGCTGAGCCTGCCTTTCGTTTTACTGTCTCTCCGACGCACGAATGAATAAGTCCACAGCAACGCCATTTTAAGAACAATTATAGGTGATTTGGAATTATAGACTGAAAACGAGAAAAAAAAAATGGTAATGCTTTAGGGAAAGGACTGTACTTGTATTTTCCGTCTATGTTAAGTCGCACTATGTCCTAATTTGTTTTGCTTCGTTCGGGCGTGCCTTTGTCACAGCACTGCTTGCTTTTGGTGTCGTACTTTAATCATGTGGATTGTGGAGCTGTAGCGGAGCGACCCGTGATTTGCAACTGGTGGACCCATTCAGGTATGTGTGGTAATTGGCTGTCCTCGTTCATCCTCATGTTATTACTCAAGAGTTAAAAAAATCCGTACGATCATGACGGCTGTTATTCAAAGAATGAATACATTAAAGAATAAAGTCTCGATCTTATTTTTATTAGGTCATTCTAATTCTTCGAGACGCTTAGAGTTCGAACATTAGACTCAAAGTAAACCTACACGCATGATTATTTTCGCTGAATATATACAAATTACAAATGCATTTTTTTCTCACCTGAATGTCTGCTGTGCGGTGGTTGCAGAGTTCGAGCCGTACTCGCCGTACACGAGCGACGACGAGCCGGCGACGCGTCAGCCGCCGCCGCCGACCCCACCACCGCCGCCGCCGCCGCCGCCCCCGCCCGCGGCCATCTTCCACGAGGCACCGCTGGCGCCGCCGGCCAGCTCGCGACCCAGCCGGCCCCGGCCCCGACGACAGCCACAGAACGAAGGTAGGTCACTGCCTGGAGGCTCCTCTTCAAAACATATTCAACGGTAAATATTTAGAAAAAATAGGTAACGTTTCGAATTCATAGAACATAACCAATAAAAACATGTAGCCACTCACATAAAAGGACTGTGCTACAATAAATATCCATTTTCTGGTCGTGATAAGTTAGAGGCAGCTAGACCCGGATTACTTCATCACATGAATAAGCCAGGGTGTGTTCCCGTGTGTTCCGATAAGTCAGAGTTCCCCGTTGTGTCTCCAGTGTCGTCAGCATCGGACTTTGACGAGGAGCTGCGCTCCGTCATCGGAACATGGAGGACGAAGAAGAAGATCATCATTCCCAAGACACCGGACGCTTCCCTCTACCAAAACTCGACCCCTGCTGAGGTTCAGGAGTGGCTCAAGATCAAGGGGTTCTCCGACAGGTATGCTATCATCTCCATTTTCAGTGAATGTTTAGTGAGTAGGGGAAAGTAGGTGTATTGCGCCCTCCTAACCAATTGCGCCCACCAACATTCCCACGGATTCAATGGCATGTTTTGAATTTTGTGTTCGAAAACATTATTTTCCCCACTGGATAGTTCCTTTTATGGCTCAAGCTCCCCGATGAAGCCAATCAGCGAGGCTCATTACGCCATCAAAGATGTTACGGCGTTCTCTTAGCTTTTTTGCAGTGTTTTGAGCCGTTGGCTACAAAAATGTGTGATATTTGTGTGATTTTCAGAGTGATATTTAGAAAGAAAAACCCTTTTTTCATTATATTTCACTAAAACAGTTAATTTCCTTCAACATCTTTATGATAACTTCCACGCTTTTATTAAAAAGTACCTCAATTTTAATTGCGCCCATGGCAATTGCGCCAGGGGGGCGCAAATAGAATAATGGTGTAGCTATTGTATATCACGACAGCATGAATGCATCATTAACTGATTGCAATAAAGAAGGAGTTTAAGGTCAGGCAAGGGAGCAGCCCGCTGTCGTCAGTCCGCAAATTATTTCTCTCGTCAAACTTATAATGCAGCTGCCATTTAGGCTACGAACTTGTGTAATTGACAAAATACGACATTTTCAACATGGACTCAGGCGTGAGAGGTGACAGCTATGATAAAAAAGTAAAAACTGATGTCATAAAACTGTCGAAATAATGAAAATTATTAATTTTGAGAGAAACGATTGGAAATATAACCGTATAGGCGCATACGTTCACATATATCTAGTCGGTTACAGTAAACGTTTTCGTTGCACTTTTACAAGCGTACGAACACATGTAAAGTTATCTACCTGGGCAAAAAAACATCGCGATTTACACCTAAATTTATTATTTAACCAGCGTGAATAACATTATGAATGTTTACGAGCGAGCGAGCGCAGCGAGCGAAGTGAGTCTTTTCAATATAACGGAAAAATCTCAGTATGAGCGGCCCGGCCCGGCCCGGCCCGGCCCGGCCCGGCCCGGCCTGTAACGCTTTTGAGAGGCTTATATCTCAGCAACCGCTGGACCGATTGGCCTGCGGTCTTTTTTGTTGGGTAGCCCCATCCCTTCTACCCCGTAATTGACTACTTTTGATACATCACAGTGACCGCCGTGGCGCGTGCCACGTGAAAAGTCAAGGGTGTTCAAGCAGTTTTGCAAAAGTAATGATTTTGAGAGGCCCATATCTCAGCAGCGGCTTGAGCGATTGTCTTGCGGTCATTTTTATAGGGTAGCTGCATCCCTTCTACCAAAGGTCGGATACTCTTCATCTATGTGAGTGACCCCCACTGCACGTGCAAAATACAACAATAAGAGGTGCCAAATTTGTTCCCATTTCAGTAGCTCGGTAATTACTGGGGCGATTTCGCTGAAACTTGGCATACAGGTAGGCACCCACCAGGCAATGCATTCCCATGTGTTGCGGTTAGGGTGCTACTGCACGTGCGCACGTGCAGGGGGCGTTTCCAGATCTCGAGAACGGCTGGGCCGATTGCGCTCAAATTTGGTACACGGTTGGGGACCAGTTAGTAGGGTGCCGTGCAAAAGTCATTTTGGACCCCGTTTGCACGTGCGCACGTGCAGAATGCCGCTTCCAGATCTCAGGAACGGCTGGGCCGATTGCGTTCAAATTTGCCACACCGCTAGCGACCGGTTAGAAGGATGCTTTGCACAAGCCCGTTGGAAGCACCCTCTCGCCCTTCCGCACGTGCAGGGCTCACTATCTCGCTCGCTCGTTCTTCGCCCAAAAGGCGTTTTACTGGTAAAGTAAGCCGCAATGACATTAGACTGCGGGGGTGTATGCATTCCGTCTCATTCGCTTAGCCATGTTAAGGTATAGGGCGCAATTGGGTTCTAATTGCGCCATCCCCCTGGCGCAATTTACAGCAGTTGTTGGCAAATGCGCCCTTTTACATGTTTCTGAAAAAGCAGCTGTCAGAAGCAAACGAAACATTCTTAATTGATCGGGAGGCTCTTAAATCGTAGCCAATGAGTTCCTCTTTGAAATGGTCACCGATGCATGCTTATATCTCCAGCGGTTTTCTTACAATTAGCGTTTTTCCTTAAGGTGGCGCAATTCACCCTCCTTCCCCTAGGTATGCATCGTATATTATCCTAAATAATCAATAGTTGATTACGAGCGAGCGAGCGCAGCGAGCGAAGTGAGTCTTTTCAATATAACGGAAAAATCTCAGTATGAGCGGCCCGGCCCGGCCCGGCCCGGCCCGGCCTGTAACGCTTTTGAGAGGCTTATATCTCAGCAACCGCTGGACCGATTGGCCTGCGGTCTTTTTTGTTGGGTAGCCCCATCCCTTCTACCCCGTAATTGACTACTTTTGATACATCTCAGTGACCGTCGTGGCACGTGCCACGTGAAAAGTCAAGGGTGTTCAAGCTGTTTTGCAAAAGTAGTGATTTTGAGAGGCTCATATCTCAGCAGCCGCTTGGGCGATTGACTTGCGGTAATTTTTGTAGGGTAGCAGCATCCCTTCTACCCAAAATAGGATACTTTCGATGTATGTGGGTCACCCCCAGTGCACGTGCAAAATACAACAATAAGAGGTGTCAAATTTGTTCCCATTTCAGTAACTCGGTAATTACTGGGGCGATTTCGCTGAAACTTGGCATACAGGTAGGCACCCACCAGGCAATGCATTCCCATGTGTTGCGGTTAGGGTGCTACTGCACGTGCGCACGTGCAGGGGGCGTTTCCAGATCTCGAGAACGGCTGGGCCGATTGCGCTCAAATTTGGTACACGGTTGGGGACTAGTTAGTAGGGTGCCGTGCGAAAGTCATTTTGGACCCCGTTTGCACGTGCGCACGTGCAGAATGCCGCTTCCAGATCTCAGGAACGGCTGGGCCGATTGCGTTCAAATTTGGCACACCGCTAGCGACCGGTTAGAAGGATGCTTTGCACAAGCCCGTTGGAAGCACCCTCTCGCCCTTCCGCACGTGCAGGGCTCACTATCTCGCTCGCTCGTTCTTCGCCCAAAAGGCGTTTTACTGGTGTTCAGGATGCGCTAAGCACACTAGGTACTATATATGTAGGTATGTAGTTTGTTTAAATGGACCAAAACTGCGTAAATCGGGGTAACTTCACAGCTTGTGACGTTTTTGTGCCAATAAAAACTTACAGGGAAAGTTTTCTGATGAATCGGGAATGCTCCCGCCATAGTGTAATAAATAACACTATGTGTAATGTTATTTATTACACTATGCTCCCGCTATGCTCCCGCATAATGCGCTGTGCTCAACTATTAACATCACACTTCGCATGTATTCGATCTGGTGAAATGTTCAAGCTAATTTGTAAATTTCCTTGATCCATCATCATTATCTTGATTAAACACTGTGTCTGGTTTCTCTTAAACTTAAACCGTGATAAGTGTCGTGCATTAATATTGATTACAGGGTCCGCAAGGCACTGAAGGATTCGAAAGGAGAAAAACTTTTCCGGTTGGAGAAGCCCAGGCTAGTCAAACTTTTCGGCAAAGAAGAGGGAGGGAGACTTTATTCACAGATCACTGTCCAGAAGAAAAATAATGGGGTAAGTAATAACTTGCATTGACTAGAATTTTATACAGTTATCAAGACGACACGAGAAGCATTTCATATTTTATGCATTTAAGATGACTTAGCTATACCTACTCTAAGCTTTGATTTTAAGTCTCGTCAATCTATAATAAACGTCATCCGATCGTCATGAAGCACGTCTCTGAAGCCATGGCGACTGGCGTAGTTAGGTCTGGGCTCAGCCTTAACGGTTACCAGCAGATCCTGTCGCTCATGCAGACCAACCCTCACTGCCTCTCAAACCCACGCCCCTGGTCTCTCGCAGTTCAACACCACCAGAAACGACGACATGTTGATGAGGTTGATGGAGGAGAGACGCGAGAAGATCAACAGCAACACCGACGACGCCATCGGCGACCTCAACCGCTGCATCGGCGGCGACAGCGACAGCGGCGACAGCAGTGACGAGAAGACCATCAAGTCGTCGCCGCCGACGGTGCGCCGCGTGTCGCCCTCGGCCGCGGGGCGCGCGGGGAGGGCGTCCGGCTCGGCCCCGGCCCCGCCGCAGCCCGGAAAGTCGGCCGCCAACGGCCACAAGCCGCGCAAACCGGCGCCTCAGGCCTCCTCGCCGCCCAAACAGCGCCAGTCGCTCGACTCAGGTGGGTGCTGCTAACTCTCAGATGGGTTCTGCCTACTCTCAGGCTAGTCTTGCTGCTGCTTCCTCTTAGGTGGGGCAGCTACAGCTGCGGCTACCTTCTCTCAGTAGAGTATTCCAAACTTTCAGATTGGTGCCGCAAACTCTCAGGTAGATGCTGTCTCCTCTCAAGCGGTTTCTGCTTCCCCTCTGCAGGCTGGTGCCCTTAGCCGTTTGCTGGATCAACGATGGTGCAGCAAACGACGTGACGCCTCGATCCAGACCGCTAAACGGTGTGTGCACTGTGCAGCAGTTTGGGTCTGGTGCAGCAGCGTTGGTCTAGCGCAGCAGTCTGGTGCAGCCGTGCAGCACTTGTCCACGCTCTGTCTCAATCAGTCTGGTTTTACTGACCCTTTACCATACCGGTTCGCTACCGCTGACATTCCTCCTGGTTCCCGCAGTGTTCTCGCGTGACTCCGCCGGCGGTGAATCGGACGCCGAGTCCGTGGACTCGATGGAGTCGAGCAGCACTCTGAGGGCCAACATCGAGATGCAGCGTCACCAGTTGGCGATGCGGGCCAACAGGGCCTTCCTGCCGGCCCTCTAGCTCGGCACAGCGCGGCGCGGCAGGGCGGCCGTGACCGCCAGGGCAGATGTGAACTCCGTGTATGGTTACTCATTCGAAGCCATCTCTACCAGACATACCTAAGTGTAGTTTGAGATGGCCCATATAGCCTTAAGCTTAGCAAGGAAACGCAACCCGCATCAAATGGTCGCTAAAACTAATAAGGAAAGGAAAATGTGCGAAAAAATGCGACATTTGGTACCCCATATCGGAGGGCCATAAGTGATTGTTATACATTTGCTTAACAATGCCTGACACGGTTTACACGCACATTTGATAATAAAAGCGTGTTTTTTAGTTTTTCTTGGGCAGATTCTAGCAAACAATAATTATATTGTATAAAATAAGTCTATGGATAATGTGCATACCTGTAACACAATTATCAGCTAGGTCTAGTTATGCAAGATTAAAATGGTTGAAATAGGCAACATTATTGAATCATTTGAGTATGTATCGTGACATGATGCCTTTTTGATGGCAGGATAATATGCCCATATGCTGGAGGCGCTGAACAGAGTGTGAGGTTAGAACTATTCACAGAGGCTATATATTCACAGAAGCTAAATGCTGTTTATGGCGTATGTTGAGTTGACTGATGTCTGTAGTTGAATGAGAGGATTATCACTAAGACCGGCTTGATATGCTAGAAATCTAGGAAAAAGTAAGTTCATGGAATACGAATCGGTGACTGTATAGGTCTATATGTTGGAAAGGTGATTTCCGAAATATACAGCCAAGGATCTTGATAAAAGGAAAAACAATCAATGTAACACTAAACATAATCGGTCAGATTTGATGCTTGCGTTGTGGGTCAGGTCTGCTTTCATTGGATCATGTTCTATCATTCCTTATTAAAGATAAAAATGCGCGCTTCGGCTCATGTCAACGTAGTGTCCTTGATTTCGGTTCCCTCCCTTATGAATCGACGAGGGAAACAATGAAGTGACCAGTGCAAACGGAAAGGACGTTTTCCTTTGTACCGGCTCATCGCTGCGCTAGACGCACTGCTGTTATCAGAGGCATGGGTGTGTATCACCCATGCCCTCTATAATGATGTACTAATGATTTTATGTACGAGTATGTGTGTGTGTACCTTAAGAGATGTATTGCAATGCTGCGACAGATTGCATCCTTTCTGAATGCCATTGGAAAGTGAAGGACATAGGTGGCGTGCTGCGCACTCATCGGTGCAAAGTGGAGGCTAAATGAGGCAATACACAACGTTGAGTACGATCTGTCGTGTGTGGAGCCTAGGTACTTCGCAGCAATGTAAGTATGCAATGTTCACAAACTATATTGACATTTGACCAGTAACTTTCATTACACCTTAGGCATGGAGACATAGGTATGCTCAATTTTCAAGAACAAAAGGAAAGAAACGGCTCTTACGGAGACAAGCAAAAAACTTCATCGGACAAAAGTAAGTTATTCACAATAGCAGTTTTCAGAAGGGCTATCTGGTCGACATTTGTTCACATTTGCTGCAGATTTGGTGCATGTTTGATGCAGATTTGGTCAAATTAAGTCTATCGTGATTCGTGTTTCTCAGAAGCTTTGGTTGCATAGTTGCTTATGTACCTGCTTTTCAAATTATCCGGCATTATTTTCGATAAAAACACAGACTAAAGATATTTGTTGTAGAAAAGCTTTGGCGCAGCTTCAGTCAACTGTGGTGCATACGCCAGATAACCCGACGTGAAACGGCTAATTATTCAGCACATCACAGCGTTTGTCAAATTAACGTTCACGTCTTCTAGGTATAGGGCATTGTATACAACTTGGCGAAGATCATCAATTTATTGGAGAAAGACTGATGTCGCGTGTCGATTAGCGCGGTGTCGTGTTTTATGTGTACGTGGCTTGATTTTATGACCCCGTCTGGCAGTTCCAATGAGGGACCGCTGAATCCAAACGACCAAAGCATCCACGCATGTACCGGCTACGTGAACATCATGCTTGTGTGTTCCAAATAGGTAATAATGGCTCGTGGTAATTTATGTGCAATGTATATTGTATTTATTCATAACCTTTTTTAATTTAATTAATTGCACCGATTGTACAAATTTAAGGGCGGTCGTTGCTGAGCAATCCCCCGTGCGGACCGTCTCAATGACGCTCCACATTTCACCATGAGCGTATTTCCGGTCTGCTCCTGTGTGATGAATTTCAGCCGCGTCCCTCATTAGCAAACAGCCGGTGATGCCGCTGTGTTAACCCGCGCCCCGTTGGGCTCTGCCGAGCAACGCGCCCCGTTGGGGGGGGGGGGGCATTTTGGCCCCCCCCCTAAGATCTCGAGAACCACGCAACCTAGCGACAAGCGGCAAACGGTGTTGGATAGCCCTATCAGGGAACTACCTTGTGACCCAATTTTATTGACCTAGGTCAAACCAATGACGTCACAGGTCAGGTCAAAGGTCCAATTTTCACCGTTTACAGGCATTTCAGGAAATGCGTTGTTAAATCGAGTAAAATGGATTTCATTGAAAATCATCGATGGGGAGATGTTCTTCAAACACATATTTTGCTATTTGAGGTCACTGATACCAGGTCAGGTCACAGAGGTCAGGTCACTGGGGGGTCACAATATGAAAGTGTCGTGTGATACATGTTTTATGGTCCATTTTACATGACAAATGCGATTATGTGGGTCAGGCAGCCTTCGGGGCCAGCTTAGGTCACGTTTTGGTCAAGGTCAGGTCAAGGTCAGGTCAAGGTCAGGTCAAATTAGGTCAAATTTTAAAGTTGATATTTTTGCATAAAATGGGTATCGAATCGATGCAGCTCGTCACGGGGAGTGCAATGGTGGTCTTTGTTTTGGCGTACGTGGTCTAGAATCGCTAAAAATTCGGTTCAAAAATTTGACGTCATCATTTTTGAACAGTTTTTTCGCTATAACTTGACCAAAAAACGAGATATCGATCTGAAATTTGGTATGTATATAGAAGAGCGCAGGGACTATCACACGTATTCCTATTTTTCCGAAATTCGGAAAGTTTTTGGATTTTTTTTTAGTTTTTCTAAAAAAAATCAATTTTTTGAATTTTTGGGGGTCAAAAACCAAACATTTTGAAAATCCGAGATAGCAGTTTTGTAGCACCGCTTTTTGTCTACCAGACCATATAAAGAACTTTGAAATTGCTTGATAACTGTAGATTTGGTGAGCGTTTCAAGATTGCATGTTTTTTGCTCATTTTTGCTCGAACATTACCTCAGTTTGACCTCAATAACTCCTGACCTAAGGTGACCTAAGACTTGAAATTTGGTGTGAAGGTGTCAAATTGATGCCCGAGAAGGTACTGAAAATTTGGCGGCGCTGCGCGCCGCCGTTTTCTTGCTATTTAGGAAAAACCACAGGGGGGCCAAAATGCCCCCCCAACGGGGCGAGGGTTAAGTGTTAACCCGCGCCCAAGTGTGGGGGGTGTTTGAACACCCCCTGCGGTTTTTCGCAGATATCTCAAAAACGGCGCCGCTTCGCGCCGCCGTTTTTGGCACACCTGTTCGAACATCTTTTCCGCACATGTTGTGAAAATTTCAGACCCAGGTCACCTTAGGTCAGGTCACCAGGTCACGCCAAGTGACCTCACCTCAGAAAAAATAAGAATGCTCGTGATAGCTACACCGATTCATCGATTGCCTTGAAACTTTCAGCGATTGATTAGAGAAACATTATCTATAAAATGTTAATCTCGGAATTTTGATATCGGTGACCTAAGGTCAGGTCAATTTTGCGGCCTCTCCATTATAAGTCAATTGAAAAGCGTCTGTTTTGCACGAACGCTATTCTAGACACTCTCAAACATCGAGATGTAGGTAAAATTGACACACTGAACCGGAAAATGGCAACTGTGACCCCTCGTTATGTCCCCGAGGTCATCTCAGGTCACGAACAGAATCTAACAGTTTTTCGCTAATAACTTCTGATAGAGGCGTGCTAGAGCGCTGAAAACGCCTTAGATGTGTTCGGCTCGACGTTGCGGATCGACTGATATGCAACATGACCTTTTCCGGTCAGGTCATGACCTTGACCTGAGGTCAAATTTTCAAGTTCATCTTTCAATGTCAACTTATAGTTCATTCGACGCATCTCGACGAGAGGAACACGATGCTGGCAAAAGTAATGTCATGGCTCTTTTGAGTCAAAAGTTATCGTAGAAAAACCGATTTTCGTAAAAACGGCTATTTTTTTTAGTTTTTGCCCTCTGGAGGCTAAACCGTTGACCTGAGGTCAAATCTGAGAACATTACACAGAAAGGTCTGTAAAAGGGCTATCGAATGCGCTTTTCCGCGGCGCTGTAGCTCTGTCAGTTCCCGAGATAGCCGTTGGCAGTTTCCAAAATGTTGAAATAGTCAACATTTTACCTTTGGTGACCTCTGGTGACCTGACCTTTGACCTGACCCCAAAAAAATGACCGAAGTGTTTTCGTCCTTGTTTTGGACGTTCTTTCGATTGCCGCTTACCGCGTGTCGCTACGTGGCCCAGGAGCCGAGTTAGTGTGTGTGTGTGTGGGGGGGGGGTGTTCAAACACCCCCCACACCAGGTCGTGGAAAATCCAGACTGACACTGGGGCGCGGGTTAAGGCTGCAGGCACGTGCTGTCGGCGGCGGCGGCGGGCCCAGACGCGGGGAGCCAGTGGCCAGTGTGAACTGAGACAGTATGACCGAACGTGTCCGGGCCGCTTTTAGCTAATTTCCAGACCGAGAGCGTGCTTCAGTGGTCCTTTGCAGGCTTAGCGAGCACTAGAATATACACGTGTAAGCCAGTTTGTGGTAAGTGAGACCGGTAAATCGTGATATACGGCGAGTTAGGAATGCAGTGTATTCTGGACACTCCACATAAACAAAAGGTATGTACGATATTGTGCGTAATTGACACTGTGAAAATACAGCATAATTACTTACAGGAAATAACAGAAAACAAAAGTGATGTTAAATGAATGAACAGATAACTTCCCTATACAATTCTTACCTACCGATCTTCATCACTGATGAAGCATGGAGCTACACTTGACATTAATACCCTCCTCCCTCCCCTCTGCCAGTGGCATCCATCTCTACACAACGCTCTTGTGTAACATACTATCATAGTGATGTTTCTTACATAAGGTATAAACGGCACAATAAGTCGTGCTTGTGAGTTAAATATAATGAAATAGAATAAAGCATGTGAAACAGCACGGTCACACCTCTGGTAAAACAATGATTAGCTCACCAGGAATATCTAGACCTTTTACGAATCCTATGAAACAAACGATACCTATCCAGAACAAACGATCAATGATTCCTGGTCATTCACATACCGTCATTCACCGTTAAATGCGGTTCAGTATTGTGCCCTCCCGCCCGCTGCGAGCGAAGGCCGCACCCGTACACTCCAAAGCCTGCTTTTACCGGACGACAACACCACATCACAACAACACGTCGACGGCTGGGTCGGTATAGAGTGGCCGGCGCTCTACTGTGCAGGGACCACCACACCGCTGCCCGGCGACCGGTCTACATTGAGCCTGGAGCCGCGCACGGTCCGTGCGGGGCGCCGATCTGGGGGCGCCGGCCCGGGGAGCCGGGGCGCCGACTAGCGGAGCCGGGGCGCCGTCACTGCACACCTCGCGATCGGCCACAGTGCGTCACACAGCTCACAACCTGAGACTCCGGAGCCAGGTAACAACACACCGCCACCGCCGTCTTTAGCCCGGAGGACGGCCGACTGGACACTGGACAACACTCGTACACACAGCAGCGCCCTGCCCCTGTTCGCCAGAACACTGGACAATAGATACAGCAGCACTCTGTCCCTGTCCATCCTCAGTCCGGAATACGAGTCGTTGAGCGCCAGTGGACAAACGTATGGACATCCACGCCCCTGAATACTCGCCGGCCACCGTTCAAGATGAAAAATATTCCAATACTTCGGCCATTTCTGAAAATATTTAGTTCTGTCGCGTTAAAATGGCGAGTCAATAATTCAATAATGGTAAATCTCAGCACACATGCATTATACATATTTCTTCTCGTATAGAGCCGCCGCTTTCGAGCATCGAAATCTTAACCTTGCGTTTCACTTAGCAGACTACAGCGCATCGATTCGTATCATAACGGCACCGGTCCACCACTGACGTCATCAAACACCACTGACGTCACTGGGGCACGGGTGACGTCACTGGCTCGGTCGGTTGATGACGTCAGTGGTGTGTATGAACTGTGAGTGTCGCGCGGCGCCGGTGACATCACTGGCG